CTCAGTGGTGAGCTGCATCTTGCATCCAGGGACATATAGCTCAGTGGTAAGAGGTGAGGCAGTTGCATCTCATAACGAACGGACGTATAGCTCAGTGGTGAGCTGCATCTTGCATCAAACGGACGTATAGCTCAGTGGTGAGCTGCATCTTGTATCAAGGGACGTATAGCTCAGTGGTAAGAGGTGAGGCAGTTGCATCTCATAACGAACGGACGTATAGCTCAGTGGTGAGCGGCATCTCGTATCAAGGGACGTATAGCTCAGTGGTAAGAGGTGAGGCAGTTGCATCTCATAACGAACGGACGTATAGCTCAGTGGTGAGCTGCATCTTGTATCAAGGGACGTATACCTCAGTGGTACGAGATGAGGGAGTTGCATCTCATAATGAACGGACGTATAGTTCAGTGGTGAGCGGCATCTCGTATCAAGGGACATATAGCTCAGTGGTAAGAGGTGAGGCAGTTGCATCTCATAACGAAGGGACGTATAGCTCAGTGGTGAGCGGCATCTCGTATCAAGGGACGTATAGCTCAGTGGTAAGAGGTGAGGCAGTTGCATCTCATAATGAACGGACGTATAGTTCAGTGGTGAGCGGCATCTCGTATCAAGGGACATATAGCTCAGTGGTAAGAGGTGAGGCGGTTGCATCTCATAATGAACGGACGTATAGCTCAGTGGTGAGCTGCATCTTGCATCCAGGGACATATAGCTCAGTGGTAAGAGGTAAGGCAGTTGCATCTCATAACGAACGGACGTATAGCTCAGTGGTGAGCTGCATCTTGCATCAAACGGACGTATAGTTCAGTGGTGAGCTGCATCTTGCATCAAACGGACGTATAGCTCAGTGATGAGCTGCATCTTGCATCAAACGGACGTATAGCTCAGTGGTGAGCTGCATCTTGTATCAAGGGACGTATAGCTCAGTGGTAAGAGGTGAGGCAGTTGCATCTCATAACGAAGGGACGTATAGCTCAGTGGTGAGCGGCATCTCGTATCAAGGGACGTATAGCTCAGTGGTAAGTGGTGAGGCAGTTGCATCTCATAATGAACGGACGTATAGTTCAGTGGTGAGCGGCATCTCGTATCAAGGGACATATAGCTCAGTGGTAAGAGGTGAGGCGGTTGCATCTCATAATGAACGGACGTATAGCTCAGTGGTGAGCTGCATCTTGCATCCAGGGACATATAGCTCAGTGGTAAGAGGTGAGGCAGTTGCATCTCATAACGAACGGACGTATAGCTCAGTGGTGAGCTGCATCTTGCATCAAACGGACGTATAGCTCAGTGGTGAGCTGCATCTTGTATCAAGGGACGTATAGCTCAGTGGTAAGAGGTGAGGCAGTTGCATCTCATAACGAACGGACGTATAGCTCAGTGGTGAGCGGCATCTCGTATCAAGGGACGTATAGCTCAGTGGTAAGAGGTGAGGCAGTTGCATCTCATAACGAACGGACGTATAGCTCAGTGGTGAGCTGCATCTTGTATCAAGGGACGTATACCTCAGTGGTACGAGATGAGGGAGTTGCATCTCATAATGAACGGACGTATAGTTCAGTGGTGAGCGGCATCTCGTATCAAGGGACATATAGCTCAGTGGTAAGAGGTGAGGCAGTTGCATCTCATAACGAAGGGACGTATAGCTCAGTGGTGAGCGGCATCTCGTATCAAGGGACGTATAGCTCAGTGGTAAGAGGTGAGGCAGTTGCATCTCATAACGAACGGACGTATAGCTCAGTGGTGAGCTGCATCTTGTATCAAGGGACATATAGCTCAGTGGTAAGAGGTGAGGCGGTTGCATCTCATAACGAACGGACGTATAGCTCAGTGGTGAGCTGCATCTTGTATCAAGGGACGTATACCTCAGTGGTACGAGATGAGGGAGTTGCATCTCATAATGAACGGACGTATAGTTCAGTGGTGAGCGGCATCTCGTATCAAGGGACATATAGCTCAGTGGTAAGAGGTGAGGCAGTTGCATCTCATAACGAAGGGACGTATAGCTCAGTGGTGAGCGGCATCTCGTATCAAGGGACGTATAGCTCAGTGGTAAGTGGTGAGGCAGTTGCATCTCATAATGAACGGACGTATAGTTCAGTGGTGAGCGGCATCTCGTATCAAGGGACATATAGCTCAGTGGTAAGAGGTGAGGCGGTTGCATCTCATAATGAACGGACGTATAGCTCAGTGGTGAGCTGCATCTTGCATCCAGGGACATATAGCTCAGTGGTAAGAGGTGAGGCAGTTGCATCTCATAACGAAGGGACGTATAGCTCAGTGGTGAGCGGCATCTCGTATCAAGGGACGTATAGCTCAGTGGTAAGAGGTGAGGCAGTTGCATCTCATAATGAACGGACGTATAGTTCAGTGGTGAGCGGCATCTCGTATCAAGGGACATATAGCTCAGCGGTAAGAGGTGAGGCGGTTGCATCTCATAATGAACGGACGTATAGCTCAGTGGTGAGCTGCATCTTGCATCCAGGGACATATAGCTCAGTGGTAAGAGGTGAGGCAGTTGCATCTCATAACGAACGGACGTATAGCTCAGTGGTGAGCTGCATCTTGCATCAAACGGACGTATAGCTCAGTGGTGAGCTGCATCTCATATCAAGGGACGTATAGCTCAGTGGTAAGAGGTGAGGCAGTTGCATCTCATAACGAAGGGACGTATAGCTCAGTGGTGAGCGGCATCTCGTATCAAGGGACGTATAGCTCAGTGGTAAGAGGTGAGGCAGTTGCATCTCATAATGAACGGACGTATAGTTCAGTGGTGAGCGGCATCTCGTATCAAGGGACATATAGCTCAGCGGTAAGAGGTGAGGCGGTTGCATCTCATAATGAACGGACGTATAGCTCAGTGGTGAGCTGCATCTTGCATCCAGGGACATATAGCTCAGTGGTAAGAGGTGAGGCAGTTGCATCTCATAACGAACGGACGTATAGCTCAGTGGTGAGCTGCATCTTGCATCAAACGGACGTATAGCTCAGTGGTGAGCTGCATCTTGTATCAAGGGACGTATAGCTCAGTGGTAGGAGGTGAGGCAGTTGCATCTCATAATGAACGGACGTATAGCTCAGTGGTGAGCTGCATCTTGCATCAAGGGACGTATAGCTCAGTGGTAAGAGGTGAGGCAGTTGCATCTCATAACGAACGGACGTGTAGCTCAGTGGTGAGCGGCATCTCGTATCAAGGGACATATAGCTCAGTGGTAAGAGGTGAGGCAGTTGCATCTCATAATGAACGGACGTATAGCTCAGTGGTGAGCTGCATCTCATATCAAGGGACATATTGCTCAGTGGTAAGAGCTGAGGCGGTTGCATCTCATAATGAACGGACGTATAGCTCAGTGGTGAGCTGCATCTTGCATCCAGGGACATATAGCTCAGTGGTAAGAGGTGAGGCAGTTGCATCTCATAACGAACGGACGTATAGCTCAGTGGTGAGCTGCATCTTGCATCAAACGGACGTATAGTTCAGTGGTGAGCTGCATCTTGCATCAAACGGACGTATAGCTCAGTGGTGAGCTGCATCTTGCATCAAACGGACGTATAGCTCAGTGGTGAGCTGCATCTTGCATCAAGGGACGTATAGCTCAGTGGTAAGAGGTGAGGCAGTTGCATCTCATAACGAAGGGACGTATAGCTCAGTGGTGAGCGGCATCTCGTATCAAGGGACGTATAGCTCAGTGGTAAGAGGTGAGGCAGTTGCATCTCATAATGAACGGACGTATAGTTCAGTGGTGAGCGGCATCTCGTATCAAGGGACATATAGCTCAGCGGTAAGAGGTGAGGCGGTTGCATCTCATAATGAACGGACGTATAGCTCAGTGGTGAGCTGCATCTTGCATCCAGGGACATATAGCTCAGTGGTAAGAGGTGAGGCAGTTGCATCTCATAACGAACGGACGTATAGCTCAGTGGTGAGCTGCATCTTGCATCAAACGGACGTATAGCTCAGTGGTGAGCTGCATCTTGTATCAAGGGACGTATAGCTCAGTGGTAGGAGGTGAGGCAGTTGCATCTCATAATGAACGGACGTATAGCTCAGTGGTGAGCTGCATCTTGCATCAAGGGACGTATAGCTCAGTGGTAAGAGGTGAGGCAGTTGCATCTCATAACGAACGGACGTATAGCTCAGTGGTGAGCGGCATCTCGTATCAAGGGACATATAGCTCAGTGGTAAGAGGTGAGGCAGTTGCATCTCATAATGAACGGACGTATAGCTCAGTGGTGAGCTGCATCTCATATCAAGGGACATATTGCTCAGTGGTAAGAGCTGAGGCGGTTGCATCTCATAATGAACGGACGTATAGCTCAGTGGTGAGCTGCATCTTGCATCCAGGGACATATAGCTCAGTGGTAAGAGGTGAGGCAGTTGCATCTCATAACGAACGGACGTATAGCTCAGTGGTGAGCTGCATCTTGCATCAAACGGACGTATAGTTCAGTGGTGAGCTGCATCTTGCATCAAACGGACGTATAGCTCAGTGGTGAGCTGCATCTTGCATCAAACGGACGTATAGCTCAGTGGTGAGCTGCATCTTGCATCAAGGGACGTATAGCTCAGTGGTAAGAGGTGAGGCAGTTGCATCTCATAACGAAGGGACGTATAGCTCAGTGGTGAGCGGCATCTCGTATCAAGGGACGTATAGCTCAGTGGTAAGAGGTGAGGCAGTTGCATCTCATAATGAACGGACGTATAGTTCAGTGGTGAGCGGCATCTCGTATCAAGGGACATATAGCTCAGCGGTAAGAGGTGAGGCGGTTGCATCTCATAATGAACGGACGTATAGCTCAGTGGTGAGCTGCATCATGCATCCAGGGACGTATAGCTCAGTGGTATGAGGTGAGGCGGTTGCATCTCATAATGAACGGACGTATAGCTCAGTGGTGAGCTGCATCTTGCATCAAACGGACGTATAGCTCAGTGGTGAGCTGCATCTTGTATCAAGGGACGTATAGCTCAGTGATAAGAAGTGAGGCAGTTGCATCTCATAACGAATGGACGTATAGCTCAGTGGTAGAGCTTTCGGCTGCAGTCCGAAGGGTCGTTGGTTCAAATCCGACTGCGTCCTCTTTTTTTTGATGTTTTTTGTCGTGCTTCCTCGCTTGTCGCGTCTGCAGGAGACCTTCCCGAAATTGTTGGGCGTTTGCAAGTAACTGCCGGCAAAGTATATTTGGTGATGTATTTGTTACGTGGGTAATTTTTGCCGAGTGCCAGAAGCCAATGGCCTTTGGGGAGTTCCGAGCAGTTGCCCCACCCAAGTATCCACCGGGCTCCTTTTGCATGGCGTTGAACGACTGGTGAGGTGATGTTGTTATCCCAGGATCATCTGCAGAAAAGCCCGCAACCGCGGTCCACCCAATCGTTGCTCGCGCAACCATTGGGTTGGATAGCAACAAGGTTGCGAAGAAATCCGTATTGAGCCTCATAATGTACTCTAGTCTCGTCAGATGGGCGGCACGACGGGTATAGTTACCTCCTGACGTACTGGTTGAGCAGGTTGAACTGCCCGAAGGAATGGAAAGTAACCATTCCATGGCCATCCTTCTCATCCTTCACAGTACTGTTGGATCCCGTTCAACCAAAGGGGACAATTACCCCGTCCTTTCGTTGAGCGGGATCAAACATGTTATCTTGTGCATCGTCGGGTGCACAAGTTTGCAGCATGTTGAGGTGCTCGGTGATGTCGCTGCTTTGGCTGAAAGCCGCCTGCATGAACGCCATCCTCAGTGACGTTCCTGTCTCCAAGGCCATACTGGGGCACCGGAAGTCGTCGATGTTCCCGGCGTGCATGTGCATAAGAACGTCCGGCTTCCCCATCTTCCATATGGGTGAGAAGTTGACGGCGTCTCTCGGCGCTGCGCCTCTCTCCGACAGCATATCCTGCATCCTGTGTCCGCTGAACGGAGACTCTCATACGAGCTTCTCGAAAAGATGGGTCGTTCAGATACGACTGGTCGCGCATGGCCGGGTTGTTCACATTGCGAAGTGCTATGTTGAGGTCGCCCACGGCCGCAAAACGGGCCATGTCTCCAAGGCCATACCCCAGTCCAGAACGTCGATGCAACCCTGTCACAGTGCATTCACGTTGTAGCCGTCGGCAAAAACGTGAAAGCACTATGACATCGGTGCGTACCACTGCTGTAAGTTCGATGGATTGCTTTTTTGATTTAAGGTCTTCGAACATGGCCAATGCGATACCGGGAAACAAAGCTGGTAGCACTGGCTGACGAGTTTCCGGTCGTCTGAACGTCTACAGGCTGCTACAGAGCCACTGTTGAACATCTATTAGCGACATAATAAGAAGATGAGTGACAACTGCCGAGCGTCTCTTGAGCAAAGTCATCTTCACAGTACCTTGTTCTGTTTCATGATTCGTCAAGTCGGTTTGCCAATACTGGACAAGTCGGGCCGACGACAGCTACCAGCTGCCACCGCAGTGTTAACGTCCCCAATTTTGACAGCTGTCAGTTGTTTGTCGGAAGCACTGACTCGCAACTTTCATGTCCTACAAGGCCCCACATTTCGTTGATTCCCAGCTCTAATATCGCCTTTTCCATCGTTACAGTTCTCTAGTATGTCTGGCTGTCGTTCAAGGCAGCGTATGATACCGACCGGTGGCCGTCAAGAAAAAGCCCCTTTTGAAATTGACGCTTCAAACGCGCTTGGTTCACCAACAGCATCCGTGCATCACTATATGATTAGACCCAGCCATCGTTTTCAAAAAGTATCACAGAGTTGGCTATGGACAAGGACCAGCTGATTGCTTTCGCCCTTTCTATGGGCTTCGAGCACCACGATGTTGCTGACGCCATTGCGGCCGGCTGCACAGACTTGGAAGGTGTCGTCGCGTGGTATGCAGCCTCTCCTTCTCTCAGGCCGCTTCATGATGGAATCGCCTCATTCTTACCAACAGCATTATGGACAATGTCCGGCCAGCACTTCATCTCGGCTCGCCAAGAGGCTACGAGAACGCTTTTGGAAGGTTCGAATCCGCGCCAAGTGTACTGCAGCCCGCGACCGGCATGCCGGAAAGCGACGTGAAAACTCCTTCTGACATTGGCGCCACTGTAAGCGAAACCAGCTCCTCTCAGGCAGTTGAAGAGGGAACCAAAGTCAAAAGTAGATATGTGTCATCCAAAAAAGATTATATCGCTCAGGCACGGCTGAAAGAAGCCGAAGACGTCAGGAGAGTAAAACGGCAAATGGATCAGGTATGTCTTTCTTACCATCCATGCAATGGGAAAAATTTTCAATTTTGAACCGTTGCATTTGTAAGACCAAGCAGCAAACGCTTGCGCAAATTCAGGAGGATCGCGAGCGGATGAAAGGGAAACGGCTACATCAGAGTACGCCACTATGTCATAATGGTTCTGCGACGAGTGATGAAATACCGAGTGTTGCAGCTGCGCCGGCAACGGGGTCGAACCAGGTGACTTTTCAACTCCGTGTGCCGCCGTTGTCCATTTGGAAAGGCCAGTCACCATTGCGAGTCAGTCTCCCACCTTTGTCGCCTCTTTCAGCCTTGTTTGATTTTACGAGAGATAACGTTGGAGTTGCGGACATGCAATTCATTCAAATGTTTCCGAAACGCGTATATACCACAGATGAAGCTCATCAAACGCTGTCAGAACTTGGTTTAACTGGGAACGTCGCGTTGACAGTGAAGGCAGTAGAGAATGGAGACGGAGCTAACCATGGGTCGTCTCCGTCGACGGCTGAGCAGATGCAACTCGATGAATCCTCCGATGTCTTACTTTCACCGGCTCGCAGCCCGTGGGGGCACGGCAGGCATCTCGCTGATCCTGACATTACAATTCCGTCTGGTTCAGCTTCAGACGGGGATCCAATGAGTGATACTGGTATACCTGACACGGATACGCTTGACCCCACGTCAAGAACAGCCGCCGCTTTGCCCAGTCATGGTGGGCAATTGCTCCATAACTTCTCTGGAAGAGCTGATGGTAGTTCGACGCTTGCCCGCCATGCGTGGGGCAGAGGACAACGGCTGGATCCATCGCAGTCAGCGGCGGGGTCAGGGTCCGTTTCGAGCCCGATTTGGCCGACTGTCGAGACAACCCAAACTCCAACCCTCGTCCCCGATGACAGTAGCGACGATTCTGATTCTCTTCATGGAGATTCAGACAATGACGACAATAACCCAATTAATCCTACCCTGGGAGGCCATCGTTTGGACGCCCCACCGTCGTCAAATATACCTCCTCATCTCACTGACACACAGATGCCAGGGGGACCAGGTGGGAACCGTACGCGCCAAGTGCCCAAACTTTCCGACATTGCGCTCGCCCGTGTGCTAAAGGTCATTACTAAGGGCAAGTCCACAGGCATCCTCAACACACTCCCAACGGGCTTCAAATTCATGAGATACCTCCCTGGTAAAGTCGTCGAAAGGCTTGTTATAGGGGTTTTGAGTACCTATGGCGGGCCACCTGGGTGGGTTTGGAATCTTTTCAAAGGAAGCGGAGTTCAAGAATTGGCACTCGAAGCGGTGGCAGCCCGCATCGCGGACACCATCCTAGTTTCGCTTGCAGTTGCGTTCCCGGACTTGCGAGTTTTGAGACTACCGGGCTGTACACAGGTGACGAGCCACGGCTGGGACGCCATCGCAAAACTCACAGAGTTAGAAGTCTTGGATGTATCAGGATCACGAATGAAGGATCTCGCCTGCCTGAGATCGTTACATCATTTGAAATTGGTGAACCTGTCTGGAACCAAAGTGGATGCCAGCAGTTTACTGCATTTGCCCAATACTGTTGAAGAGCTGAATCTATCTTCTACCGATCTCCGAAAAGCATCAATGCTTCTCGCTACACTGCCTTCCGCTCTGCGGTGGCTGAGCGTCCAGCAAACCGAACTACCTCTACAAACTTTCCCATCCGCGTCATCGCTGGTTACAGTGTTACCCCAACTGGTTTACTTGGATGCGTCGCACACAGCTGTTGACCTTTCCACCCTGTTGCGCATGCCTTCATTGGAGTCCCTCCGCTTAACCGGCTGTCCTCTTACCACTGAGGACATCACGGTGCTCATTCAACGGTTACCACTTGTGGAGCTCCCGGATTTTCGCCACTCATTGCCGGCGTTTCCCAGTGTCCTGAATGCCGTGTACACTCACTTACCAAACACCATGATCCGTCTCTGCATCGACAACTACCCCATCACCGATGAAATGCTGGATGGAATGCAATCCTTGCAGAAGCTGGAGACACTGAGTCTTTCTGGTTCGAAAGTCACCACCAGTGGATTGGCAGCCATAGGCGGCATGACACACTTGACGGAGCTCTATTTGGACCGTACTGACGTGGATGACAATGTGATTCAATATTTGCAACGTGAGTGTCACCTTTGGCAAAGTTTCTCACGGGCATTCTAGGAACCTGCATTTTTGGCAACTGCTTAACACCACCTGACGTACTGACTCTGCTGACACTATGTATCATTCATTTCATTTCTTGGGACATTCCGGCGTCGTATAGCTCTTCGTTATCTGGCATGTCTTTCCCTGAATGCCACACGTCTCACCTCTCTCTTTCTGTCCCAACTCCCGACCCTCGCGTGCTACTCTTCGCTAACCACACTCCAGATTGGGCGTACTTCAATCCTGTTGTCTCCAAAAGCCCTCACGGTATTTGACGGGATGCAAAGGTTGAAAAGATTGGATGTTTCGGGTTTAGAAGTGGAAGATCCCATTGGCGAGGGTTTGACTGACAGCACCCAAGAGCAAGTGCGGGTCGCAACATTGAAAATGGAGGTTTGCGACACTGTCAACAGAATCAAGAGGAGGGGCGTTATTGTCAGACGCTAGTCAGGGAATATCCCTATGCGAGCTGTACATAACATTTCTTCGCTGAATACTAGGCGTACCACCCAGAATGCTGCGTATTGCAAGGAATGCCTGGATGTCGATGGCTCAGAGACTTAAATTATGACAAAGTCATGCGCCGGCTGTAACCCCGCCGGATCCAGTCTGCAATTTCTCCTCATTGCCAGACATTCTCAGGCAAAAACGAGCATACGTAACACCGAGGCAAATAGCAAGCTCTGCCTATG